CACACACACACACACACACACACACACACACACACACGGTGCAGCAGCTAAGGATCACATAGCCCTAAAAAATTCAACAAGACTGTCTGGGCTGAATGGTGTTGAGCAGTGAGCTGCAACAAGACTTCATCAACACTTAAGACTGAGTCCAGAGAGCAACCAGTCCTTCCATTACACGCTGGCTGGGTTAGAACCACTAAAAGGACATTTTTGTTTGTTGTAAAATATTAAATAAAAATCATGTTTCACTTACCGCTTAGTTTAAAACTATCAGTAAAATTTACACTGAACACATGTATCCTGTCTGAGATCTGCATTATCAACTGTCCAGTTTCTGAATAATACGTTATTCAAGAGATTTTAATGAGGTTTAAACAATGTTTGTGTAATTTTTTTTACAAAATGTATAAAATGTACAAAGTTGTAGCCATTTTCTGTTTGCTACTGTTGATAAGCTGTGGTGACCATCTTGAATGACACTGACTCTTCATCCAGTGATTACTTCCTTAGACATTTTAAAATCCAGCTGTTAACATAAAGTCTGACATATTTTATGCTGCTAAATAACCTGAAACAAAACCGTAACTCTCAGCACAAATTTTTAAACATGCAAGATAGATGCAAATCATAGCTGCAACCCTAAAAACAATGGTGACGAGGAAACACATCGTCTCAAAGAGGGAAAAAAAGAACAGTGCTTTTGTATAATTATCACCTTCTCTTACATATTACATAAATATTATGTAATCTTTCCTACCAATTTTTTTATTTAAAAAAAAGATTTAAGGTGTTCTTTGTTCACTGTGTTCAGACAAGCTTAACTAAAAGTGCTGTTTATATGCAAATTAAATCTGATGTCATCATTTCTTTCAAACTGTTTTGGTAACTGATGCTCTGATTTAGGAGGTCGAGCTATTTTCCAGACTTTATGTTAATGATTAGCACCCTCACACAATTTCTTGTTTTCATTTCAAAGATGTAAAGTGCAGTCCAATCGCTAGAAATAGCCTGAATAGCTGCAAAGCTTGTTTACTTTTAGAATTCAGGATTTACAATTTCAGAAACCAAAAGAAATCCAATGAAGTATTCAGCTCCATCTTCCATACATGTCCACAATGTAAAGTCCTCAAGTCCATTTTTTTACTCACTGCATAGAAACTTTGGGAGAAAATTGTATGATTAACCACAAACCTGCAAGTCCACGTGGAATATCTAGAAGAGACTGATGAACAAGTGGATCATCTGCTGAGTTTACCAGGAGGAGGGGTACAGACACCTGGAGGGAAAAGTCAGGTTCAGGCTCTGGTTGTACATATCATCTAAGTTTGGTAGTATTTTGCACTGCTTCACAGCACATTATGAGTAAGACTCAGTTTTAAACTGTCAGTAAGAATCTCAGACACTGACTCTGTTTTTAAGGATAACCCAGACAGAAAATTTTAAAACAACATTTATATTGCATCATATTTCTGCCTGGTGCAGAATGTGAAGACACAGAGACTAAAGAAGAAAGTCCGAGTTATAGAGATAATCTGTTATCTCTGGAGATTAAAGTTTTGTTAAGCCAGCTAACAGGAGGAAACCCTAACTACAGAGTGCTGAACCTTTATGGTCCACTCCTCAGGTCATCAACCAGGATGAGTCAAACGGTGGCAATAAACAAACACATCCATGCTAAATGTTCACAACTGAGCCAGAACAGAACTATGACAGTGACAATATTCCAGAAATGAGCTGGAAGGATTGGTCTCACGTTGTGGATGTAGCGCACGCAGCTCTCCTTCTCGTAGAACTCCCTCAAGGTGCTGTAGCCGTGAAACTTCCTGCAAAGACACACGTGGCATCGGTTAACAGAGAGTTTGGAGCAGACTGCTTCAACTCACATCCCAAACCTAACATCCATCATCACTTCACCTCATTATTCTGTCGTCGAGCTGCATCAGAGAAGTAGCTGCATACAGGCCGTTCAGGTCGGCGTCATTAATGCTGCTGGATGTCGTGCCCAACAAACTGCTTCTGTTAAACAACACTGAGACCTATTAGGGGCTGAAAACCTCATTAAAATTTTGAACTTTTTATAATAAAATGAACTGATGACATTTAATTATTTCAGAATTATGTGGATAATACAGAAGATTTTTGTTTGTCTCTTGTAAGAGCAGAAATGTCTAGAACAGGGGTCTGCAATCTGCGGCTCTGGGGCCACGTGTTGCTCTTTGGTCCCTCTGCAGTGGCTCTTTGAAAATGTGACCAAACATAACTGAATTTTGTTGTTGTTGTTGTGTTTTATCAGGGTTCCCACAGATCTGTAAAAAGGCATTGAATTCATCAATCCAAAAAGAAGACCTTAATTAGCCTTAAAATATTTTAAATAAATCTTTCAGAGGGATTAAAAGTCTTTACACATTATCCATTGGATAATAATAATTCATCTCAAATATTAAAATAATTGGTAACATTTAGTTATCTTTAAATAATTTACAGGATGCCACTTGCAGCTAGTAGTTTTGGGTTAAAACAAACATTTGGGTAAAATTGTCGCTAACTGTTTTTTTTTCTTTCAATTTGTGTTTATTGTGAACTTGATCTTAAATTTCATTTCAAGTGGCATTAAAAGGTCTTAAAAATCTTAAATTGAACTTGAGCTGTATGAACCCTGTTTATACTCACAACAGAAATCAATTTGTATGCAAATATGTGTTCAATACTACTAATACAAAAAGTAAAACACGTTGATTAGCTCATGCTAGCCTGTTGTTTACTTAAACAATCCAACTTCTTTCTACGATCTTTCTCTCAAGTCCATCAGGGTTACGTTTAAAGACCTTTAAGACTACATAATAATAATTAGAGAAAAAATACCTGAATAGTTTAGTTGTACTAGTTTTTTATGAAATTTGATATAAACTTATAGAGGTGTCCCGATACCTGTATCGGTATCGGATCCGATACCAGCATCAAGTACTCGTACTCGTACTCGTAAAAGCCGGCCGATACTCTTAACCGATAYYRCTTTTGTCCCCTTTTTTGTTCCTCCTGTGCTGCGCTGCAGCACAAAGGGTAAACAACAAGCCATACCAGGCGGGGGCGCTAACGCACTGACAAGTTATTTCCGACCGCACCCCCGAATAACAGAAGAAGAACGACGAGAAGAAAAGAAGAAGAAGAAGTAACATATCGGCAGTTTGGAGATATTTTAAGATCGGCACGAGGACACCAAACAAGCAGACTGTCTGCTGTGCTCTGCTAACTGTCGAGGGGAGGAGCGAAAGTTGGATGTTTTAACAGCAGCAATTTGATTCAACATTTGAGGACAAGACATGACAAAGAATTCAAAGAGTTTGCTGCTGCTAGCAGTAGCCTTCATAAACAGCACTATGCTGCAGTTGTTGCAGTAACTTCAATGCTGTTTTTTCTTTCTTGTAGAACAAACTAAGACATAAGCAGAATATGGAAGGAAGTTTGTTGTAAAAGCATTTTATTTTTCCCTCTGGTTCTTCTGAGACTTTGTTTTAGTTGTTCCATTTAAGTTTGAACTGAAATTTACTGCACATTATTACTATTAGTCATTTTTTTAACAGTTTAAGACTGAAGCAGTGTAAACTTCTATAGATGTGCTGCTAAAATTTACATTTTACATTTTAATTTAAATTTGGTAGTTGCATGTTGAGGAAAATGTATAAAAATAACTTATTTTGGTTTTTAATGTATGCAACAGCATTTGTTTTGCAGTATTTGTATTGTTAATACATTCAGAGGGAGTGTGGCCTTATAAAAAAGAGCCTGTTTGAAATAAAATAAATGGTTTCAAAAGTTATGGTGTGATATATATACCAACTTATCTACTTGTCAGAGTTTGCACTACCTTTTTATTGTCAAACATATTTACCCATCAATTTTTGCATGATAATTGCATTTCATTTTCATTCTGTTTAATATTCAACAAGTTGAACAGATAATCCACCCTAACCCCGCTACTTGGTATCGGTATCAGCGAGTACCTAAACTGAAGTACTCGTACTTGTACTCAGTCTTGAAAAAACTGGTATCGGGGCACCCCTAATAAACTATATACAATATTTTTCTTGTTTACATGAATGTTTATTTTCTTTTGTACTGAAGTGATGAAAAATATAATAAATGTCAAAATTCACAATATATTTTTAGTTTTGTGATGTCACCTCCTCCGCCCATAAAGGCTCCTCTTTATCAAACTCGAAAAGGCCTATGAACCACCTCTTGGTAATCACAGTTGTAGCTTGTTTTGTGGCTCTGGATACATTTTATCAGTAAGCCAAGGAGCAGAAATGGCTCTTTTGATTGTAAAAGTTGCAGACCCCTGTAATGTTTGTTGCTTTAGGCTCTGAATGTAATTTTATGTTTCTGTTTTAGAACTGAAACCACCATAAAAATGAGATTAATAACATGTCAATAAATGTGAATATGAAGCTGTAAATGTTTATTATTTACCTGTGTGACAGAATGAGTTGCTTCATTTTCCCTGCCAATACAAAGTTGTAAAGCCTTCGACACTGGTCCCACTGTAGGAATGTTTCCTGAGCCCTAAACACAGAAACGCACCCGTGAACACAAGGTAAAAACAGGAGCAAAATAACTTCAACATACTCAATATGTTATATTTTTTAATGTTTTAATAAACCCAACATGGATGATAGAATATATAAATAGTTACAGTATTTAGGCAATAAAAACAAAGCTCTGCCAGCAGCCAGCCAACCTGAGGGCGCTGTATCCCTGGCAGACGCTAACGCAGCACAGCACTCGTTCCTGGTTGGATCGCTTTTCTCCGAGGAACTTACAGACGATGTTTCCTCCCAGACTGAAGCCCACCACCACCAGCAGAGTCTGGGGGAACGCCTGTCTGATGTGGCCCACCATGGCCCCAAACTCCCACGTACAACCTGGCGACAAGAAAGGCACAATTCACAGGAACGACTAGACTTAAAACATCAAGCTGAATAAAAAGCTGTGCTCTCTGTTTACCGTAGGTGAACATGCGCGGCGAGGTGAGCTCCATGTTAGGCAGAGCTCCCAGGTGGTTCAGGACGGCACAGCGGTAGCCGTGCCGCTGGGAGTAATCCACAAAGGTCCGGATGTAGTTCTGCTCGCTATGGTTTCCAATCCCAGGGCAGATTACCATGGTGATGTCATCTGACATACACACAAAGAGAAGGAACTCAAACACTAAAGCATAAACTGGAGTCACGAGTGCTGGTAAAAGCACATATTTTGTTTGTGTGTGTGTGTGTTCCATTGGTTGTTGTATTGCAGGACATCTTTCCCCTCCTGAGCCAAACAACCACATGGAGCGATGAAAATACAAACCATGCAGAAAACCTTTAGGATGTACATTTCTATGAATAAACCCTGCAACAAACAATTAGCCTCTAACCTCCTGTGATGTGCTTTCCAACAGCTTCAAAGAGGTCAAAGGTTGCTGTTGCGCCGTCCTGCATCGGGAGGAATTTGCGAAGCCCGTGGGGCGTTGGAGTGCTGACACGCCCCAGCTTGCCATACAGGACTGTCTGGATGTGACCACTCTTCCCCCACAGCAGAGGAGGAACGTATCTGATGACAAGCACAACAACCCCACCTTTTAACAAAGATTCCTGGCCATTATTATTTACAAACAGAAAGACACAGAGGTTTCTTAAATCACTTCCTTTTTTTAAATCTAAATACTGACAGACAGATGAAATGCATTTCTTTATTTTAAGATGACCTTTTTTTCCTCCCACAAAATTCCAAAACATCTGACTGGCAAGATACTCGCTTGGAAAAACAAAAGGGTAATTGTTTAACCAGTTCTATTCATGTTATTACCCTTATTGTACTTATTGTAATTAAGTAATACCTCTACCCACTCCTTTGAATGTGTAAATACGTTTCACTCGTTTTTCTTTTGCTTGATTTTGTTACCTCCGCCAAGGAGGATAGGGGAAATTACAGATGTCAAAGTTCTTCACACTTATTTTTCTCACCACGATAGTGTGAATGTTTTATTGAAAATCTAAACTATAATCTTAACGTTTATTTCTTTGGAAACTTTTTTTTTATATGAAACCTTCACTGTATGGGCACAGAACATGTCTGGTTATAATTTGGAATGATATTGTGTTATGACATTGATTCAAAATTATTGTTCCACATGTGTTTTCTGATAAATATGTTGGAATAAATTGACATTTTGATTTCCATCATTTACTTTTAGGCAACATGATGTTACTATATTTAATACTATAGTTAGTATTAAAAGCATTGTATAGGTCAGTTGTCCAAGGGGGATCCTTTTAGCATAATTGACCCTGTGGCCTTGGCGGAGGTTTACGCTCTCCGAGTGCTTTTAGTTTTAATTCATTTTCTTTGTATAAAACTTTATTTTATTTATGCTTTTATTATGGTACATTACATTCAATAAAGTCAAACTAACCAACAAACTAATTAACTAAAAAGTGAAAATGATAGCAAAGAATATTTAGATAATCTAATTAATCAATGTGAATGCTAATTTATTTATATAGCACATGAAAACAACAGAAGTTGGCCAAAGTGTTTCACAATTCAGCCAAATGAACGAAAACAAAGCAACATAAAAACTTTCAAAATAAATCAAATTAATATGCAGAAATACAACATAAAGACATCAGCTCTAAAGGACTCATAAACTCTGCCAGAATCAAATACCAAGAAGTAAATAAGGGTCTTAAGCATAGATTTAAAAGTATTGACCGTCTCAGCGGTCCAAAGAGAAAAAGGTAAACCATGTTGACAATTTTACTTACAGATTTCATACCAGTCCAGATCTGACTGCAGTGTTTCCCCTAGCTATTCTCCAAAGAAGGAGCATCACCGCCACAACAAAGTTGCCCATGCCCCTTTAAAGGTCATGGCAGGTAATTTATTAATTAGGTATATTTTTATTAAATGTCTGTTATGTGTTTGCACATGACCAACTCATTGCAGCCAGAGGAAGATGTTAAAGCTGCCACCCATTGGTACCGTGCCCTGAAATTCACTGGGACGTTTCTAACTAAACTTTAAAACTATTTTAAATGCATCCAGAGACTCATCTTAGCGTACTACAATAATGTAATATTGCACATGTGACAATGGGCTTTAGTTCTAAGAATTAAACAATATTAACACTAAAAGATGGTTATTTATAAGACTAAGATTATAACAAACGTACGTCTACGCTGAACTTTTGGTTGTTTTTTTTTCTGTGTCTACTTTTAAGATTAGACTGAACGCTTTCCTTTTTGATAAATCCTATAGTTAGACTTAGGTTTCCTGAATTATTTTTCATTTCTGCTGCTATAGACTTAGACTGCTGGAGCACAAACTGAGCACATTTCCTCACTCTGCTGTTGTCTTTAGTCTCTCTTCTCTACATTTATTGTTATTATTTCTATCATGTTTTTTCTTTGTCTCTTCCAGAAGAATGTGCACCTGGACCAGTCCCGGACCAGTTCTTCTGTCTTTGTCTGTGTCTCTTTCCTGTCCCTCAACCAGCTGGTCGAGGCAGATGGCCGCCTGTCCTGAGCCTGGTTCTGCTGGAGGTTTCTTCCTGATTAGCAGGGAGTTTTTCCTCTCCACCGTTTGCTCAGGATGGGAGACTGTGATGAAGTGATTCAACGCAGCCTGCTAGTTTCTTCTTTAGATTATTCTTTTTATGTACAGTGCCCTGAGACAATGTATGTTGTGACTTGGCGCTATATAAATAAATAAACTTGAAACTTGAAACTTGAAACTTGTATGAGTGCCAGTTTCAAGTGTCAGGAATTCCTTATAAATATCTATAAATGTTAATTCTACACGAGATTAGAGCAAAACAAACAATGTTTTAGCTATTTGTATGTTCTATTTAGAACCATACTTTGCACTTTGTACTGTACTTTGTCAGGAACTATGTTTTTGTTAGTCATTTTTGTGTTATTTTCTGCAGGATTCTCGTGTTTCCAGTATTTCCCTCTGTAGTTTCTGCTCCTGCCCCGCCCACATGTTCCTAGCAGTCTCCTCATCAGGTGCTTGTTGTTTTGGTTCTTTTCTTCTTTTCTATTTGATTCTTTTTGCTGTTTACCAGCCACTAAATTTTCTTCCTGGCATAGATCCTTGAATTTCCCAGAGTTAAGTCTTTAGTAAATAATCCTGCAGCCACGTCAGCTTTTTATTTTGTAAATAGACAAGTTTACCTTTATCTTCGAGCACCTTGAGTTCCGCCTTTTGGGTTTGCAATCCTCATGAAACCACTACACACTGTGATCAATGCCATTAAATAAATGATTAAATAAGAAAAATAAATTGGAATACCTATCATAACAAACAGAACTGATAATATATGCACATGTTTGCCAGCGCCGCTTTATTTTTATCCGTTTTGGTCAAGCCGCTTCCCGTCCAACATGACCTGAGCAACTTTCAAGTTGCGTCACTAGAACAATAATTAGAATACTCTGTGCTGAAAAATAACCAATCATTTTAAGAATTATTTATATTATTTTACCAATTAATCATGTATGTTAAACACAAGCTTTATAATTATAAACATCAGAACAACTACTCCCAATATGAGAACATGTAATGTCCCTTAATGCAGCACAAAGTCCGTCTGCTAAAATGTGAACAACAACAACTCATCAAGAACTCATCGGGACTTAAAATCATTCCTGGGGCTTTTGACAAATCCAATAAAATAGCCAGAGATGACGCAGATCTCAAGCAATTTAATGATGGAAACGATGGAGCTTGACAAGCAGCCGTTCACCTTCGCTAAAGACTGAAGCTTTTATCTCTTTGTTAGCCATGGTTTACCATGCTGAACAGCCTCTGCCTCTGTCACTCTCAGAAGCACTATTTCAGGTAGAAAAATGTTTAAAATCATATATTAATAATAATAAAAAACAAAACAAATGTACTTTTGTATCTAACTAGTGTTAGTGCATTATCTGTTTTGAACTTGTGGAGTGACTTTTTCTCTTTTGTTTAAATCTGAGGTCAGTATTAAGGTCTTTTTTAAAATTAATGTGCCTTATTTTAAAAAATGGCTATTTGAGAAATTGTTTTGTTTGATATACTTTAAGAAATGTTTGTTTGCTAAGAGTTTATTTCAAATRGTATAATTTACAGTGTCATTTGGTTTTGGTCTATTTTATTTTTGTTATGATCTTACCCATTTTTGACCAGTCTTATCTCCTGGCATGTTATTGGTTATCGGTTATTATAGGTTATCGGCCATTAGAAGGAGAAAGTTATCGGTACCGGTTCTTAAAATAACGTGCATCCCTAGAAATCACATTTTAACAAGTGAATATTCACATTGCAGAGGTTGTGTTTAAAAATTCCACTTTACAGACTTTTTTTGTCACTGAAAGTACTTGATCATTAAAAACTGCATGACTCATTAAGTCTCAGCCAACTTAAAAGCAAAGGAAAAAATTACTTTTTTATACACCAAGAGGCTCTGGAAATGTTCTCTGAAAAGCCCCAAACAAATTCACTGTAGTGAGAAAAGTTGCACACTTCCTTTAACTATTTACTTGTACTAGTTGTTATTCGATTTATGTATCAAATGTTATTTTTTGTCACTATTAAAAGCAAAATAAAACACAAATGATTTGACTCATTGAACCCCCTTCTCCCTATATGATGGAGAGAACATTTTATAATCTAAACTGCTTCACATGTTTTAAAACTCTGAATGGTAATTCAATTCAGAAATACTTTATTGATCCCAAAGAGAAACTACAGAACTAACTCACTCTTTGGTCAGCATTGGGCAGGACTTGAGCAGGTAGCGGCTGAGCGGCGTGTCCTGACAGCTGATCTCCGGCGGTGCTGTTGGACTCTTTAGGTTTAACCAGCCCACCACGACGTAGAGGACAACAGCCACCGCAGCCACCGCGACCAGCTTCATGCCGTTGAACATGGCTGGCAGCTCGTGGCCGAAGGTGTGCAAGTCAACGTCCTCGATGACAGACATGGTCGGGTATTTCAGAAGAGCTGCTGTGTGAACAGAGGGAAGAAAATATCTAAAGTGAGACGTTAACAAAAGCTGGAATTTTGTTAAGATTTCAGTTCCCTCCCATCCACCTCCACACTCATCAGCACTTACATCACAGTGACCTCCACTTCCCACAACTTCTCCATCTTATTTATAAATAAGACGGGACTTCCCAAAGGTCTTACCACCGCAGGCACTCGGGTTTAGAGGCCCACAAAATACTACTGCTTTAACAAATGGATGGTTTTCAAACACCTTCTACTTTTTAACTTGTTGAATCCTTGATCAATGAAGGTTTGTGGTGGTTTTGTTTAATTTGCTTCAGTAATGTAATTTGTATAATAATGTTGATCAGGTTGCAAGAGTAAGCCGACACCTTTAACCCTGTCCTACTGTCCCTAAAGCCTAAGTGGTTTTGAATATATCAGAGGTTCTCAAATTGGGGTCCCAGGACCCCCAGATGTCCGTGAGAGGTATCTTGGGGGTCCTCAAACATTTTCACTAAAATGTTAATTTGGTTTTTATTTTTTTAAAAATGCATGGAGAACAATGATTCAATAAAACAAACATAATAAACTTAATGTCCTGATGCATCTCAGTAATCCAGGTAAAAATCAAAAAGAAAAAAATTGTATAGGTCCTCTGGACGGGTTCTTCTCTAATGAAACGTTTCGTCTCTCCTCCAAGAGACTTCTGCAGTCTGAGAGTTTCAGGCAAAATTCAGGCTTTTAAGCCCTGCTTCAGTGAAGCTCACTCACTAATGCATCTTTGACTAACAGATAAACAGGTTCCATCCTCAGGGTCTGCGGCTCAGTTGGACTTTCTCTCCTCTGACAGTAAAGCTCAGAGTTCTTAAAGCTGATGTGTGAAGGAGAACTTAGATTGAGTCTGACTTTCTTTCTTTTATTTGGCTACACATTAGTTTCAGTTCGTGAAACTACTCTTCCTGGGGTCCATACATTAAACAAAAACAGCACAAACAAATCTTATAGCGTACATGGTTCACATAACATATTC